ATCAATGTCGTCATTTCTTACGGTAACTCGTCATCCAGTCTTCAGATGTTACCTGACACCGGTGCTGACGTCTCAGTAATTGGTCCACAACATTTAGCAAGTTTGGGAATACCCCGGAGCAACCTACAGCCCCCTCCTCAGACAACGAAACTGACAGCTGATGGTTCCAAGATGGCTCCAGCTTTGGGATCTTTCTGGGCTACCCTTACCTTTGGTAAGCAGTCTTGCTCAGCCCGGATTGATGTTCATAATGGTATCCCGACTCCGCTCTTATCAAATGGCCATTGTCAAGAATTGGCCATTATTTCCAAGGAATTCCCTAAACCTATCTTAAAGGTCACCCATGTCAACAGGTTGAAGGAATTCCCTATCTCTACTAACACGTCCCCTTCTGACGCAAGAGCTTACCTTCTCAAGGAGTTTGCTGACGTGTTGGTTAATAAGAAATCTTTAGGATCCACACCACTCAAGCCGATGGTGGGTCCACCTATGAAGATTCATCTTAAGGATGGTGCTACACCTTTTGCCATCCACACCCCTCGTTTGATTCCTCACGCCTACAAGGAGCTAGTTAGACAAGAGCTTGACTCCATGGTTGCTCAGGGAATCATCAAGCCGGCCGGAGACGAACCTTCACTTTGGTGCCACCCTCTCGTCCCCGTCGCCAAACCTCGTGGTGGAGTACGGATCACCACCGATCTGTCAAAACTTAACCAGCAAGTTTCCCGTCCAGCCCACCCTTCACCCACACCCTTCGCAGCTGTTCGAAGTGTGGACCCGAAGGCGAAGTTTTTTACAACTATGGACGCCTTATGTGGTTATTGGCAGATCGAGTTGGCCGAAGAAGACCAACACTTGACTACATTCATCACACCATTTGGAAGATATCAGTATCGCAGAGGCCCCATGGGATTTGCGGCTACGGGCGATGCATTCTGTCAACGTGGTGACGCGGCCCTTCAAGGAGTCACGAATTGTGTCAAGGTGGTTGATGATATCTTACTCCACGACGAAGACTACTGTGCCCACCTCTCCCGGATATATGAAGTTCTCACCAGATGTCGAAAGTACGGGATTACCCTCAACGCTGACAAGTTTGTAGTCGCCGCTCCATCAGTAAACTTCTGTGGGTACACCCTCTCAGCATCAGGCATCGCAGCTGACCCGGAGAAAGTAAGTGGAATCAGGGATTTTCCAACCCCTGCCAACCTGACAGACCTCCGTTCTTTTTTGGGTCTGGTCAATCAGCTGGCTGAATTTACACCTGATATCTCCGCCGCAGCCCAGCCGTTACGCCCCCTGCTGAGCCCCAGGAGGACATTCCTGTGGACCCCAGATCATCAAGAGGCCTTCCAGCGAGTCAAGCAGGCCCTCTTGAGTCCACCTGTCCTCGCCTGTTACGACCCAGCCCTACCCACCATCCTCCAGACTGACGCCTCCAGACTCTACGGCGTTGGTTACGCCCTTCTGCAGGACCATGGCGGTGGACAACTCCGCTTAATTCAGTGTGGATCCCGGTTCCTGACCGACGCTGAGACCCGATATGCCACGATTGAGCTGGAGATGTTGGCTGTTGTCTGGGCGATGGCGAAGTGCCGTTTCTACCTGATAGGACTTCAGCACTTCACCCTCTTCACGGATCATCGCCCCCTTATACCTATAATCAATCACTACTCTTTGGATGCAGTAGAAAATCCTCGCCTTCAACGTCTGAAAGAGAAGCTCTCGCCTTATCTCTTCACGGCTGTGTGGCGTGCGGGTAAGCTGTTGTGCATCCCGGATGCCCTGTCCCGCGCCCCTGTCAGTCGCCCCACCCCAGAGGACGAGATGTTGTGTTCTACAGCTGCTGCATCCCTCAAGTCAGTGGTTTCATTGAAGGCCGTCTTCACATCAGAAGAGTCTACAGCACCGGATGCAGACAAGACCCTTGAAGATCTCCGCACCGCAGCCCGGGCCGACCCTTCCTACATCCGGCTCGTCGACTGTGTGTCTCAGGGATTTCCATCTAACCGATACGACCTTCATGAATCGCTACTCCCGTACTGGAAAATACGCGAGGACCTCTATTGTGATGGAGACCTCGTCTTGTATGGTCCACGAGTAGTTATTCCTGCTGCCCTACGCCGCCGTACCTTGGCCCGCCTTCACGACAGCCATCGAGGAGTGGAGGCCACCAAGCGACGGGCGAAGCAGACTGTATTTTGGCCCGGAATCGACGCGGACATTGCAAGTACCGTCCGTGCCTGTGAACCGTGCCAGATTCTGCAACCTAGCCAGCAACAGGAACCTTTAATGTGCGACGACAACCCTTCAAGACCCTTCGAGTCTGTGTCGGCCGATTTCTTTGCAGTAGCAGGGAAGTCCTTCCTCGTCATTGCCGACCGACTGTCTGGATGGTCTGTTGTCGTCCGCTGTGGTAGTGATACAACGGCTACTGCTACCATCCGGAGCTTCAGGCATTACTTCAGAGAAGTTGGTGTTCCCCTCCGCCTCAGGACTGATGGAGGACCCCAGTTCACCAGCCACGAGTTCCGGGACTTCATGGACCGTTGGGGAGTCCGTCATGTCGTGACCTGGCGAATGGACACGCTGAAGCCGCAGTCAAGACTGTGAAACACCTGATCCTTAAGGTGTCACCCTCAGGAAATATCGACTGCGAGGACTTCGATCGAGGTTTGTTGGAGTTACGCAACACCCCGAACTTCACCGGACGCTCCCCAGCCCAGGTTCTATACGGACATCATCTCAGGTCTTGTGTTCCTGCCCACCCGAAGTCTTTTTCTCAAGAGTGGCAGGCCAAGACTGAAGAATGTGACCGCCGTGCAGCAGAACGAGCCGCAGATGTCGCTGCTCGGTATGACTGTCATGCCCGCCCCCTTCCCAGGTTGAGTATCGGCCAGCAGATCAGGATTCAAGATCCGGTATCTCACCGCTGGGACAAGGTTGGGGTTGTTATGGGTATTGGCCGGTCCAGGGACTACCAAGTGCGTCTTCCTAGTGGTAGAGTATGGTGGAGGAACCGTCGTTTCCTCCGACCTGTGGAGCTGCCTAGTGTTGACCCCTCCCCAGTTGAGTCCCCTAATGTTGATGTCTCTAAAGTAAATCCATCCCCACCTTGTGTTTCTGCCCCAGTACTCCGCAGGTCCGAGCGACTCAGAAACAAAAGGTCCGCTCAAGATGAAACTATGAGCGTATAGGGGGGAGGGAGGTGTATGATATATATGGACACAAAGTAGTACCTTCAGCTGTATATTGTTATATTACTCTTATTAATTATGTATAGTAAAGTATTGCAGAACATGTATTAATTCTATGTAATATTCCATTTATTGTGCACCATGTTATGTATATAAATTATCACATTTATACTTTATGTATTTAGCTTGTGAATGCTGGCATCTGCACAGGCCAGCGCGTAGAAATACATAGATAGATGTAAAGAGTGAAGACAGAGTCCTCGTGGCGTGACCACGGGCTTCTGCGTCCTATTGTATATATATATCTCCCGTACGAGAATAGAACCTACTTTTAAGACAACAAGTGTTTGTGTATACCCTCAGTAGTATAGAACATTCTTTGGGTATCTGGCAATACGCTAGAGTTGTAACATTAAGAACGAAGAGTCCAGTCTTTATTAAGACATCTAGTTCCTCCTCATATGCCTAAGGTAAAGCTAGTTTGTTGTTGATGCACATCTGCTTACCTACTTCCTAGGGATAAAGATAGTTCCCTAAGGGGAATACATGGATAAATATAGGATAAAAGTTTATGAATATGTGATATGGGGCAGAATAGATACAGCATACTGCATACTAATCTTTCTGTGCACAAGGAGGCTGGGTGGCTGGCACTATACTTTCCAGCCATTATTTCTCAAAATAAAAACTTATCTACCCATTCACTTCTGGGTTAGCTGGGTGCCCTGGACTGTAGGTGAGTGTTGAATCTGCTCAAAGAACATAAGTTATCATTTAAATTCCTGTATATTAAAGAGAATAATTATTAATTTCCTAGCATTTAATTAACTTAGATAAATTTATCTAATGCTTACCAAGTTCTTATTCAGAAACATATAAGCTAATTTATAGTTAATGTAAAATATTTAACGATCTGAGGAACAAAAATTCATTATTTTCAGTGTGCTAAGGTAAAAATACCAATAAATTAATTATTTATTAAATTAAATATCAAACATTTTAAGAACTACTGGCGAGAACATTGTAGAGTGTGATGTTGGAATATATAGATATGATATTAATGTATTTTTATGACTATGAATTTAATCTTTGATCTCATTTAATTAATTTGTTAACTTTACGGCCTCAAAAATAAAGAATCATTTGAAGAAAGATATGAGCAAAAACAAAGCCAAAGTAATTCTGGTAGATACTTTTCAAGCCCCTTACCTAGCTACTCACGCCCCCGGGAGTGAAGGGACAAACACAGCAATTGGTCCATACAGTATCTGAGTCACTCACCAAGTTAGAGATTCTCTGTAATCCTGGATGTCATCAAGGAGACGATAGTTAGCATTTTTTAAATTTTTTTTACCAGTGTGCATATTACTAATTTAAAGATTTAGTCACATTACATGATGTGCACATATAGGAACATCTTCACTCCATTAATATGTTTTTTGTCTATTTACTTTCAATGGTTCTCTTAACTTTACTGTACCAGTGTATTTATTACAAAACAAAGAATAATAAGAAAGTAAATAAAAGTAGGACATCAGAATGGCAAAATTTTCAGATAACATCAACTTTATTTATTGAGGTTCTCACGTAGAAACAAAAGGAATGGAAGTCTGTAATGTAGCTGACTGGTAAATGACAAAGATAGCTGATAATATATTTTTGCTGCTAAATCTAAATTAATATTCTTTTAAACATACTCGAACATCGATATGTTTTGAATAAGACCATTTTAGACAATGTATTCGTGCATAAGGTACTTATGTTACTTATTTCGTTGAATAAATAAAGATTTTGAGACAAGGATTTTCTTAGAATTATTTATTGATATAATAAGTTATGCAGATTCATAAATGTCGATGAAAAGATTCAACTTCATAATCAAAATATTTGGTTAAGCGTAGCTAGGGGTTGGCCTGTAGCTGGGAGAGGGCTGGTAGGCTGAGTACTGGGCTTCTCCCTGATATTCGACTTGAGCCACATAGCCGGAGTCGCCGTTCACGGTGTAAGTAACCCTCTGCAGACGACCGTCGGGAAGCTGAACGTAATAAGATCCCTGAGTGTCGTAACCATTGCGATCTTCGTTGTGGCCATAGTCGTTGCCAGAGTTGCCGTCGTTCACTGACCAGTCAAAGTTGTACTGGGCAGGACCCTGAAAGTGAAAATTAAACACCATTCAGGGCATAAATATAGCATATCTTTAAAATAGGTAGCTGTGGAACTAACATTAGAATATTTCATACAATATTTCAAATAAAACCCTTAGAACGATAACTTGTGTTGGCTAGGGACAGCAAAACACGTCTAAAACTTACAACAGGAGCGGGAGCGTTGTAGGAAGGACGTGGAGGGGTGTAGGGGATATTGTCAGCGACTGCGACGACCACAAGGGCAGCGAGGAAGTAAACCTGAAAATAACACCGAATCATAGAGTAATTCAAAGTATTTTTTCTTGTTTTCCCTCAATGCACTTCTCCCGGCAGGTAAGTAGTGTATATCATATTTTTTTTAATTTACCGTAAGAGCCATGTTGAGGTGTGAGGGTCGAGCGAGACTATGTCCACCAATACTCGCTCCAGGTTTATATACTGGAGGCTCCACCCATCTTGTCATGACGCTAGTTGTAAGGGGGAAAGCAGCAGTGCCCTTGAGACTCGTAAGTGACAACGGCACCTCACCACATTAACACCTCCCCGAGGTGAACCATCAAAATACAATACGTGAAGAACTTTGTCACCTCCATCATCCTGCCAGAGTCCCAGAATTGTATTTTTAATGCTCTGGTTCAAGAGGTGCTGTCCTAAAACTTTCCTACTAAGTACTTTCGGTTGTCATAGATAAATTGAAACAGAGATATTAAGTATAGTAATATTGTAGATATATGAATGTCGTAAATAGGATTTAATTTCCATGCTCATTCAGAAGTGTTTGCTGGACCTAAACCATCATGATTCTAAGTGTTTTTGTGGTGCACAGCCTGTCGTTTTGCTTATGTCCCATAATCTATTTTTTATCTGCATTTTTGCTTCCACTGTCTTACATCCTGAAACCATACCTGTGAGCTTCATAACAAACTTTCTGAAATAGATTTAGAAATTGTCAGGTAAAATTATAACACATCCAATTAGTAATACCACATTAAGGATGAATCTTGTGGATGTCATAAAGAGAAGCAAAACTGAAGTTCGTATCCCAGGCTAATATCGTATCGAAGGCAAAAGTGGCACATTGGATATCGATCAAATACAGTATGTCATAATAAAAAATTTTTATCGATGTTTTATTAAAAACGAAAAGATCAACCCGTTACAAGAGAAGAGGTCTAGAGCTTCCCCATTTGCTTAAATTAAGACAGTTTGTTGTTGTTCTGCATCTGTTTACTTACATCTGCAAGAAAAACGGTTATTTACGGGATATACTCGTACATAGATATATGTGAGCTGAAAGTTTATAAAGATATAAATATGACAATGATGGACCATTTTGGGGCATGATGGATGCAGTTTACTGAATATTAATCATTCTGTACTCAAAGAAGCAGGGAGACCGGCACTACGCTTGACAGCCCTTATTTCCCAAACTACATATTTTTCTACCCATTCACAAATGGGTCAACTAGGTGTCCAGGAGGCGAACCAACAGCTCAGTTCGACCCGAGAGTCCGACTGAACTGGAGGCATTGTGAAACACGCATTTTGACCTCACAAGATTTAGTTCTCCCTGAAGGCCTTAGTGGAGGACAGCAGTAACCACTCCTCTTGCTCCAGAAGACGTTGAAAGTAATATCGTTGAGTATTGCAGGTGCACGTATGGTGTTGGAATAGAATAGGCGCTCTCATGAAAAATGGTCTAAACTTAACACTGGCTACGGACGAGACAAATTTTCTCATACTAGGCTGTTGACAGAACTATAATTGGAGAGTGGTAAGTGGCTCAACTACCTTCGTATTAACCAGGAAACATACTTGCGACGATTTGAAGTTTTCCTTTGCGATTTTTTCGGACGAGGTAGTCATCATCACTCACAGTACTAGGAGCGCGAAACAGAGTACCGCTCACCATGATGGTTACTCCTTAACTGAAACGAAGCCTGCGGCCCTGCGCTCCACCCCATACTGTACATGCTCAAACCGGACTTCAGGCAACGCAAACTAAAGGCAAGGTTTTAGGTAGTCCCTTCAAGCTTCCAGTTCAGTTTGCGGGCCAGGCCTTCAGTCCAAACAAACACGACTCATCCACAAAGTGCAGTACACAAATCTGTTTGTACAGTCGGACTGAGAGTGCGTGAGGGCTCTATAGGACTCTATGTGAAAGTTGACTGAACTTAAAGAACGATAGTTAATTCTTAAATACCTTAACTTTAATTAACTTACGTAGTATTCACTTTAACTTAAGGAATACAACTATGTATAATAAAAAAAGAATATATCGAATGATCTAAGGAAGAAGAATTAATGTTTTCATCGGTCTATGGCAAAAATAATTAAGTATTGGTGAATTCTAGGCTCATAAACGTTAAGGACAAAAGTTGAGACCATTTTACAGTCCGGTGTTAGATTATATAGATATATAGTTTTAATCCATTTTCATGACTATGAGCTAAATCTTTGATCTCACTTAATTAATTTATTAACTTTAAGGACGCAACTACAATGACTGAGAGAAATACAGCTCTGAGTAGAGGAAAATTTCAAGTACAACCTGTGAGTATGTCCTCAATACCCTTACTGTATATTCAGTTACTCACGCCCCCGGGTCAGTTTATTTGTGAGTCAAGAAGTCAGTGAGTTGGTGTCTTCGTAATGGCCATCAGCCTTAAGTATTGTTTGCATCATTTAATGCTGTTTACATGTGTTTCTTATTTTTCAGACACAATTACTGAGTTATTTATGCCTACCACATGGCATACTAATATTGCAGAACATCATCAATCCATAAATATATATTTTTTATATATTTTTTTCATCGATTCTCTGAAGTATACAATTTCTTTTCTTATATAACGAAGAATAATGTGATGGTGAATCAATCTAGGTTTTCAGAATGCCAATGTGCTCAGATGTATCTCTGAATGAAAGTATGTAGTGTTGTGTAATTCAACTAGCTGGCAGGTGACATACTGTATGACTATAATTTTAAGGCTAAACCTAAGTTCATATACAATTAAAATTTATTGAAATGAGATTATGATTTGGATAAGGTCCACATGGACGATTTATTCCTGAATTGATGTACTTATTGTTGTTTGCTACAAGATAAGGATGATGAGACAGGGATCAATTTTTGTTTTATATATTTTATTGATATAATAAGATAATCAGATTTATACATGTGTTTTAGGACACTTACGTACTTAATGAGTCTTTGAATTGGTTAAGCGTAGCTAGGGGTTGGCCTGTAGCTGGGAGAGGGCTGGTAGGCTGAGTACTGGGCTTCTCCCTGATATTCGACTTGAGCTACATAGCCGGAGTCGCCGTTCACGGTGTAAGTGACCCTCTGCAGACGACCGTCGGGAAGCTGAACATAATAAGATCCCTGAGTGTCGTAACCATTGCGATCTTCGTTGTGGCCGTAGTCGTTGCCGGAGTTCACGTCGTTCACTGACCAGTCAAAGTTGTACTGTGCAGGACCCTGAGTGAAAATTTTACACCATTAAAGGAAAGATTGCAGCATATCTTAAAAATAAGTTCATGTTCTGAGGATTAATGCATAGGTAGAGTTCAGTAGCTGTGAAAGCAACTTTAGAATATTTCATACAATATTACAAATAAAAATCTTAGAACGATAACGTATATTGACTAAGGGATGCTAAACGTGTGTAAAACATACAGCAGGGGCGGGAGCACTGTAGGAGGGACGTGGGGGGGTGTAGGGGATATTGTCAGCTACAGCGACGACCACAAGGGCAGCGAGGACGTAAACCTGAAAAACCACCGAATCATAAAGTAATTCAAGGTAATTGTGTTTTTTCTTTCTAATTTCACCTTAACGCACTTCACATGGCAGACAAGTTGTGTGTATCATATTTTTAGTTTACCGTAAGAGCCATGCTGAGGTATGAGGGACGAGCGAGACTGATGTCCACTGATACTCGCGCCAGGTTTATATACTGGAGGCTCCACCCATCTTGTCATGACGATTGATGTAAGGGGAAAGCAGCAGTGTCCTTGAGGCTCGTAAGTGACAACGGCACCTCATCACATAAACACCTCCCTGAGATGAACCATCAAAATACAATACGTGAAGAACTTTGTCACTTCTATTATCCTCCCAGAGTCCCAGAAGGTCATTGGTCATGTTCTAGTTAAAGAGGTTCTGTCCTAATAATTTTCTCATTAGTATTTTCGATTGTGTTTTACGTTATACTAAATATTTTTGTTTGTGAAGAGCTTTTGCCATAGATAATTTGAAATTGAGCTATTAAGAATAGTAATATTGTAGATAGATGAATGTCGTAAATAGGATTTCATTTCCATGCTCATTCAGAAGTGTTTCCTGGACCTAAACCATCATGAGTATAATTCTTTTTGTGGTGTACAACCGGTTGTTTTACTTATGTGCCAATATCTATTTCTAATCCGTATTGCTTCTTCGGCTGTCTCACATCCTGAAGCCATACCCGCAATCCTCATAACCAACTTTCTTAAATTGATTTTGAAATTGTCAGGTAAAATTATAACACATCCAATCAGTAATACCACATTAAGGATGAATCTTGTGGATGTCATAGAGAGAAGTAATAATAAAGTTCGTATCCCAGGTTAATATCGTATCGAAAGCAAAAGTGGAGCGTTTGGTTATCGCTCAGATATCTCATAATTTATTTTTCGATGGATATATTATCAAAATCGAAAAGATCATCATTCTGTTACAAGAGAAGAGATCTAGAACTTTTCCATTTACTTCAATTACGACATTTTGTTGATCTGCGTTTTTTTTCTTTCTTTTTTTTTGCGGGGAGTAGCCCACCCTGCACAGGTTATCGACCCACAACGGGTCCTCGGGGGCGAAAAAAAAAGAGTAGAAATAAATAAAAAATGAAAAATGAAAAGTTTATATTATCTACACCACGAAGATAACGGAAAACCAACTTTTTGAAGTGAGGCAGATTGTACGAGTATGGAAACACAGAAGCCAGAGCACTCCACAGTTTGACTGTGTGAGGAAGAAAATGATGTATAATAACGAGTTATTCTAGTGTGACCGACATCCATAGACAAAGAGTGGGCACCGCTGGCAAGACGAGTGTTACGAGCCCACCGCCTTACCGACGGTACACAGGATGCCAAATCTGCCGAACATTGCCCGTTAAAGTACCTGTAATAGGGAGAGAGTGAAGCAACATTGCGGCGAATAGAAAGGAAAGAAAGATTATCAGCTAATGAGAATAGTCAATAAGACGGAATGCCTTTGATTCCACCCTATCTAATATTTGGACATAAGAAGAGCCACCCCAGATATGAGAGCAGTACTCGAAGTTAGGACGAATGACTCCCTCATAAACTTGAAGCAACTACTTAGATGTGAAGTAGCTACGGCATCTGGACAGTATTCCCAGCTTTCGGAAGGCAGCTTTAG